TGCTTCTTTCCCCCTGCCTTCCTCCTTCCCCCTTTCCCCACCCTTTCTCCTTTCCCTTCCCTTCCCTTCTCTTCTTCTTCTTTGCCCTTTTTGCATCTTCTATTTGAAGTGGCTCGGGGTTTGGCCTCTCTCGGTTTTCACCAACGTTGGCACAATATTTACCTTCTCTTTACCTTAGCCTTCCTTCCCTTGGCCCTTTACCTCATTCCTCCTTCTCAGATCTTCCCTTCCATTTTCCCTTCTCTTTTGCCTTCTGTTCTGCCTTCCCTCCTCCTTCCCCTTCCCCTTCCCTTCCCACCTTTCCTTCCTTCTACCTTCTCTTTACCTTTACCTTCCTTTCCTGTACCTCCTTCCCCGTCCTGCCTTCCCCCTTCCCCACCCTTTCTCCTTTCCCTTCCCTTCTCTTCCTCTTCTTTGCAGTTTTTGCGTCTTCTATTTGAAGTGGCTCGGGGTTTGGTCAACCAACGTTGTGCCCAAAGTTGTGCCCGGAATTGTTTGTTCCACCTGGCCCTCTTCTATTTGAAACCCTCCCGGCGGCAAATTTCCAAGCCCTTCAAATAGAAGATTGGCACAAGCAATTTCTTCTATAATAAAACCATGTACTATATACGCATCAGGCTTTGAATGTTCTACTGGCGCCTGAGGTGCCTCCGTGAACTCGGGAACTGAGGGTGGCCCGGCGGACGCCATCTCCAAGCGCAGCACCCTCAATGGTCGGGGACTTGGGCGAGTCGTCCTCAGCCTCTCTATCATTGGACTTGGGCGACTCTGCGTCGTCCTGCACAAAACATCGCAAAATATGATCGCCAAGAATTTGTAGAGAGTTCGAATGCAGTGACGCTATAGAAACGCAAACAACGGCACCTTCTGCTCGGTCTCATCTGCCTGGCCCTGCCGTTTTGGGATGAACTCAGACTCATACCCAACCGTGTGAAAGCCAAAAGGAAACAATTTTGTGAATAATTATATATGTATTTATAGTATTTACTATATATACAGTCGTGTTTAACAGCCTGATTCTTCACAGAAAGAAAGGATTTACACGCACAGAGTGCAACGAAACGCAGCTTCTCTTTCGCTCACCTCCCATTGGCAAGGCATCCAGGCCATCTCGCCGGAAGGCATCCAGCCCACAACCTGACATCAGCAATCCAGAAGATCTCGGTGAGTGCCCCAGATGTTGGAGGTGAAGACTGAAAACATCTGAAAACTGAAGGCGTCCAAAGGCTGCATTGGCGAGAAATGAAGGAAAAGCCATCACTGCACCAGCAGATCGATCGATCACTGCACCAGCAGTTTCGTAGACTTTACCAACCCACCAATCTTGCGTTCGAAACCTGGAAGCCATAGCCCGGCCACATTCCGCAGTAGTTCATGCCTGCCATTGGCAAGGCCATTGGTGCTTTGTGACAAAGAGAAGACTCTTGCTACTTCTCTCTATTTTAGTGTGATGTCCAGAGGAGCACTTTGAAACATCACTGTGAGTCTCATGCAAAAGGAGGGTAACTGGCTTGGCTTGTCCACAGTTGTCCACTGCCAAATGAGCATGAAACTCACAACTTCTGGAACCCATGAATTAGTTATCCGGCAAAGTCGGCTTGCTGCAGTGGCAGTGTGCTGGCTTTCATAATGAATTCACCCATCGAACACACTGCATAACACGGAGCCTTGATCGACCCACGGAACAGGGACGTAGGAGTTTTTCATGTCGCCTAGGCAGAGGAAAAACAGCAAAAGGAACCTAAGTGCAATGGCCTCCCTCGTAATGGCTATGGCCTCCAACCTATGAATAGCGATGGCCTCCAACCTAATAGTCATGGCCTCCAATTTGATAGCCATGGCCTCCAACCTAATAGCAAAAATCTACAACCTAATATCGATGGTCTCCAACCTAATAGTCATGGCCTCCAACCTAATAGCCATGGCCTCAGCCTGATAGCCATAGCCTCCAGCCTTATAGTCATGGCCTCCAACCTGATAGCAAAGGCCTACAACCTAATAGCCATGGCCTTCCACCTAATGGCCATGGCCTCCGACCTAATAGCAATGGCCTCCAACCGAATAGTGATGACCTCCAACCCAATAGTGATGGCCTCTAACCTAATAGCGATGGCCTCCAACCCATTAGCAATGGCCTCCCTCCTAATAGCGATGGCCTCCATAGCGATGGACTCCAACCTAATAGCGATGGCCTCCAACCTACTGTAATAGCAATGGCCTCCATAACGATGGACTCCAACCTAATAGCAATGGCCTCCATCATCATAGCGATGACCTCCAACCCAATAGTCATGGCATTCAACCTAATAGTCATGGCCTCCAACCAAATTACTAGCGATGGCCTCATCGGGGCAAGATTCTTCTTTGATGAAATGAGCCGGCACATTTCTCTGGCCTTTTCTACAAATTCACATTCCCGAGCCTTAAGATTGGGGTTGGAACTTGCAAATCTCTTTCTACTTGTCTATGGTCTGACCCGCCATCAAGTAGATTGTGATTATGATTTGTGGTGAGGCAAATAGATGAGCCTCGAGTCCCAAGACGGGGATGCGATGGGATGCTTGGAGAGCAGGCATGCTGGTGCACAAGGCTTTGTGACTTCATTGCATCTCAGCGACTCTCATCCTGAGACCAGGAGCTCTCAGTGCGCGCCCAGGTGTCTCCCCTGAGCGAAGTGAAGTGCATCTAGAAGGAGCCTTGTCTAAAGTCTCGAAAACTCTCTCTTCATCTTGTTCCCATTTGTCTGTTGGATGAGCAAGTACATGGCCGAGGACAACCTGGATAGTTCGTATGTCTGACTACCCGAGGTCATTCTATCCGAAGGACATCTATACCAAGCCTGTTCGGACTGTAGACTATTGTTGTAGATCCACGAGCCCAGTTGACAGGTGGGTGCTGAAGACCCCTCACGCAAGTGCGTCCCTTTCCTTTACTGCTCATCAAGCGGCTCCACTGACTCCGATGCGCTCATTCCTGAGCAGAAAAGCGGACTTCGGGTTTCTGGTCTTCCTCCTGTTCTAAGCTAACAACATCTTCAGTCACATTCACAAAATCATAACCCATGATGCTGAAATGTCAACTCTGCAGACCATCTCCCGTGCCTGAATTGTAATCACGCATCTCCTCTTGACTGTGAGCGAACCTGTGTGGAAGCTCAGCAGGCCAAAGCAGGGCAGTGCCACGATCTGATAATCTATAGATAATAGATATCTATAGGTAGGCTTCATTCACAGGATGAATATCAGGAAAAGTGAAATGCTGAGGACCAACTTTGGAAAGACTGCGCGACTGCGTGTGGCTCAGATCTACCATGCCTGCAGCCAGGCCCTTCCTGGCAAGAAACAGAACACACCAAACAGCGCAGCCATCCTAGCATCATGATGGTGGATGGTTCACTTGCCAAGTCTAGTAGGCATGTACTGAGGCCGCGTGAGACACTAAATAAGAGTACATTAGATTTCTGGCAATATTGCAATTTTAGTCAATGCAGAGTCAATGCACAAGAGTTTGTTTAGCAAACATAGTCTTGGAATCGGGGTGGGCACTCTGATTTGGTGAGTCCATCATTGAAAACTGGAGCCGTGTTCAACTTCGAGGCCTTGCACTTGCCCGACTTCGCTAAGCTTCGACCTTGGGAATGCAAATGACACGTTGTTTTTGTGTCATTGTGGCTTGAAATTGAACACTGTCGTGCAATTGTCATACAGCACAACCTTCGTCGAAAGCCTGGTTGGTGATGTCCTCTCGTCGAAAGTTGCACAGTCTGCTTGGCTTTGATGTCTGAGAAGACTGTGCAGCTCCAACAGATTCAGTTTGAAGCTGGGCATCTGTGTTTTCCAACTCTGAAGAACATGGTCATCTCCAGCGGAGGAAACGGCTCAGGTCACGGCAAATACGTGTCCGGTAAAGGTTCGGCTTCTCGCGGAGTTGCGACTCATCATGCGCAAAGTGGCACTCTTCCCCACCTCAGTGACTGATGGCTCTTCTCATGGCTTTCGTCTGGCCTGCTCGATCTGAATTCCATGCCCAAGGCACGCTCGCAGCGCCCTGCCATGTAAAAGCGGCAAAGGCTGGTGTAGCGGAACGTCTCCTAACCAGTGAAAACAGCTTCGAGAAGTCACATCTGCACCGTTTCTCGATCTCTTAGAGCGTTCATCAAGGAAGTCCTGCTTCTGCATCTTGATGGGTGACAAGCCTCGGAAGTGAGTGGTGTCAAGCGGTCATGGCTTGACACGGTCCACTCCGGCAAGTTAGCTGAGATTCGCTTGTGTGTCTGTACAACACTCACTTCAACCAAATGAGAAAGTTTGGGTCAAATTTGGGTGCCAGCTCTGACAAATAATGCCCTCAAAGCAACACTCGATCTTTCATCTGCTATCCATAAACTCACTCGTCAAAGGAAGCAAACCTTGTGTGGAGATGTGTGGAGATGGAGGCAGCTGTGTTGGTCAAAAAGAACTAGACAGTCTAGGCAAAAGTAGCAAGCCAACTAGGATTTTGAGGGACAACGGAAGGGCATAATCAAATACCACAGCCCCAGATGATGATATTTGATTGGGCATTGTGCTTTCATAGAGACTGACCGCCTGACCGCCTGAGTGTAGATACTGACAGTTGTATGAAACGTGCCATCGCGTCTGCTGCATCATGCCATGCGTACGCAAAACCCTCTGTAGGTCCAGCTGCCAACCCAGCAGACTCAGATAGACTTGGCAAGATGTCATAAGCATGTTGCAAGAGGGGAGCACCAGCTTGAAACACGTCTCAGCTGTAAGCACAGTCAATTGGTCATATTCATATGGAACGAATGATCAAGATTATGTATATTTAATAACATTGTGTGTATGTGTGTATATGTATATGTAATTATATGTCTATATATATATATATGTGTGTGTGTGTGTAATTAATGCCTATAGATATTATTACTATATATGTACTGTATGGTGATAATGAGTGCAAAACAAATATAGTTCCACCATATCAGTCTGAGGTATGGTCTCCTCCTGAAGAATGTCTCTCCCACAGGAATAGACCGCACTATAAACAAAAAGCCCTGGGTGAGACCAGGGTGTCGTTGACAAGTACATATATAACATACTGATACTGTACTGCATACGCAGTGTGGTTGCGTATGCTTTCAAGTAGCGCCATCATGCAAAAGTGGTGCAGAAACAACAAATGCATTGAATACATCCTGGCATGCAGGGCCTTCAGGGACTCACTAATACTAATAATGAAAATTTGAGATTTGAGAACCCTGAGCCATCACAATCCATGGAATGTTTGTCTACACGCTTTGACCCAAATAGGGCCAGGGAACTGAAAGGCCAAGCAGTGCAAGGCAGTCGCCCCAAAGCTGGAATGGCTGCAGAACAAATGCCGTGAAACCTCCGTAGCAGCATGCCTGTAACAAGTCCTGAACTCGTGGCCAGACCAGTCATCAACCTACTAGGCCTATCTAGGCTCTAGCTGTCAAACCAGCTGACCTTCGGATTCATAAAAGTTTAATCCAAACATCATAAAACCTTTGATCCCAGTGATTCTGCATTGCTAGTTCCCTTCAAAGAGCACAGCTTCTCAATCAACATTAACAAGAGAGGAACTGGGGCCATTTGCATTTCCCTGCTCTTGGTGCCTTGGAGCTATTTGTTTGCCAAGAAACTTAAGTTTTACTCAAGTGGAATTCTCATTTGTCCGCCCAACCATCTCCAATGACAACTTCCCCCGCACCGGCTGGAATGATTAGGAGCACCCAATACATGACGCTTCCTGGCATGGCTTCGATGATGAGAACGTCAGCAAGATGTCGTCTGCTTTGACTCTCTTCATTGCTCAAAAAGCAAAAGGCACCCAGCTGGGGAGTTGCAGCTCACATCCCTGAATCGCTCATAATGACCTTTCGGAATGCTCCTCTGTTTCCTTGTCTTCATGGCAGTCCCGTCCCTCGTTTCATGTATTTTCCACCGACAAAGGTGTTGCCTGGAATTCCCTGGAAGTGCCTCGAAAAGCCGTAAGGGTCAGAAGCACGGCCTTCTTCCTCAAGACATGGCATCGATCGAAAATGTGACCCAGAGCCATGGGGGAAAAAGAAACCCACTGGCCATCGGCCGAGGATCGATCTGTCCGGGCGAACAATGTCTGAGAACATTGCATGCTGGCCTTCCCATGTTGTTTGTGAAATTCAATGAAACTTTAGAGTCCGTTATATACATAATGCACGTGATGAAACTAGGGAACTACCCAGCTCAATGCAGGTCGCAAACTGTTAGAACTCTGTGAACCGCACATACAAGCCCGGCTCCACAGAGAGGGATCGACTTCGCCTCGCACAATCAACCGTCATGA